CTGATGCTGCCTGGCCTGCTGTGTTCCTCCAGCTCCACACTGTGTTGTCTCTGACTCCAGTATCTGCAGTTCTTCCTATCTCTGTATGATATCAATAGTATGATGGGTTCATTGTGAGGACCAAAGGTGACTCTTTAGGTCTTGAAATTATGTTTGAGATCTTCAATGAGCTTAATTTCCATACAACTCAGACTTTGGGCTTTAGTGATACGTGCCATTGCTTTTATGACACTTGCCTTTGAATGTTCCCCTTGTACACATTTCTCAAACCGCAGATTACCCAGATAAGGAGGAATCAGGTGGTGATTCACCACCAGGTCAGACTCACACATTTCCTTAATAGTTGAACAAAATTGGTTCAAAGCAGACTTTGCTGCGTAATTTACATTCTTGGCTATAGATGTTACACAATATGGAAGGGCAAGGTTACAGGAGAATGCAATTTCTTTTCAAAGTAATGAATTGACCTTGGAGGTATTTGTAACTTCATGGGCATTATATTTGGGCTCAGTTATAATATAACTTAAAATCAAGGAAAAGCACAAGATAAATTCAAATGTAACAGCATGAGTCAGTAGATGTGAAATTCTTTGTGTGTTGATATTTATTATGCACTGTTTTTAATATGCATACACATAGAAAAGCCAGTTAAACCAGCAAAATGTGACATTGTGCATACACAATAAAATTATATTCTAAAAAAAAGAATATGATCGATTTTCAATTATTTTCCATTCCCCTCACAAATTACAAAGCTATTTGTGACAAATAATTCCAAACAGGAAACAAAAATAAATACAGAAAGCATTGTAAAACATCAGATCAACAGTGTCACATTTAATTTGTAATATTATGTTAAAAATATTCTTCAAAACTTAAGTCGTAAAGGGTGGATGCAAATGTTATTTCAAATCTAGATAAGGGGCAGAGTAAAGAGATATTCTCTCTATAAATAGCAAAAGCTTCAGAGTTTATGGTGAACGTTATGATTGTAAAGGTGAGGATTGTTGTTACTGGATAATAAACACATGTATAATTTTGGATCAGGTGTCAGCATCCAGCTTTTCCAAGGATATGCACATGACACACTGGCATGTTTGTCTGGCTAAGGCTGTTTACGTGGATGGTATTTAATCATAACATCATTGGACATACTATGTCACACTTCTGTGGCAGCTAGAGTTTAAACCTGGATGCTCTGCCCCAGAGTTAGGGAATACCACCATTGTATAACAAGAGACCCTGAATGAGATTATTTGCTTGATATTTGTAGTGAAATTGTGAACAACTGCTAAAAATACCAAATAGAGAACATAGTAAATCTTGATCCTTAGAGTGAGTTAATTAATGCCCAATTAGGGCTAGTTTTGCTCTTATGCCATCAGGAATTCAGTTGAATCTAGCTAAAGTTATTTCAAAACAAGAACTTATATCATTTTGTTGAGGACTACAGCAACGACTGCAAACATCGATATGAATAATTGTTTTTAAGTAGTTGTATCTTATTTATCGCTGTCTAACCATTTCGAAAATATAGAACAAAGTCCCTTCTGCTTTCTTTCTTTAATCCATTGTGAGGGTAGCCATGAAAGATGTTCTGGCTGTTTCAACTTTATTGAAATTAAGCACAAGTCCTCTGTGGAACAAGTGATGGAGTAGAAAGAAACACCAGTTTGATGTGAAGGATTGCCTTCCGGCTTCTGTATTGTAATGCGTTGCTACGAGTTGGGATATTCGATTGTGATTAATTTTCCCCGTAAATGATCAAGTGATATTATTGCATGCAGTTCAAAAGGTGTATTACTTTTTATTACAGAATAAGAAAGCACACCAAATATTTTGTCATGACACTTGTGTGCTTTTCAAGTCATAATGCGTAACATCATAAAGCCAAAAGCAGTCAAGTGAAAAAGCCCAGCCACACTGATACAGTGTAATTACATCTGATTTACACAAAGATACATATATATATATAATTCAGATTGCATGGCAATCAACAGTTCATTTCATAGAAATGATGAAGAAATGTCCTGCTTCTACCTGATCCACATATTTGAAAATCACAGATTTGGGTATAGACAGGGGTTGCTCCTTTGAGCAACAAATTCTGAGAGACATTGCCTTGGTACCATACAGTTTCTTACAAGCAATGTCCTAAGCTGAAGGCAACATAGGCTAATGTATAAATAACAACAATAATGTAGAAATAATGTAAAATGATGAAGACCTGAGTAAAAGATAGAAGGCTTTGTTACCTAGGCAATAAAATAATCCTTTTTTTTGAAGCCTACTTTTTCCATTCAAAATACAATGTCTGTTGGAAATAATTTTGTAGAATAAGGGCAACGTGAATCCTTTCAGTGTTTTCGTGGCTTGAATTCTGCTGTTCTCTTATACTATTTCAAATCTTGGAAAATATCCCACCATGTCAGTACAGTCTCTGTCACTGATAAATCTTGTTGATGTGGTGCAGAAGCTACAATGGTGTTACTGACAGAAAAATTGTTCATTTAACATTTCTCTGTCAATCATTTTAACAATATCTTTTAAAATTTCTTTTCATTGGAACAGTAAAAGACCTAAAACAAGAATGCTGTAGGAATGTGTTCACTAAAACTGCCAAACGTACTTTATGGCTGTAATCCTTGTAATTGTAGCAAAGTATTTAGTTGTCTGGGTAACACATTTGGATATACATTTGTAATCCTTGTAATTGTAGCAAAGTATTTAGTTGTCTGGGTAACACATTTGGATATACAGAATCTGGAACACTATTGCCGTTGATGAAAGTGCTATAAACTGCTACTGAACATGTGCAGGCAAAGAATTGTAGTACATTTCTTGGCAAGCACACATTCAAACTATTCAACAATATTAATGGAACATTCTTCAAAGACAGCTTGCTATTCAGTGGGTTTCCTTAACCAAAGCATTAAAGATCCTTGAATCTTTAGTTTTTTGAAAATTAGGAGTAATCAAGAATCTATCGTAGGATAGTTACAGCACAGAAGGAATCTATTCAGCCCTACGTGGTTCTTTCTACCAGCTCTCTACAAGAGCAATCCAGCTGGTCCCACTTCCTCACTTTTGCCCTGCAGCTATGCAAATCCTTTTTCCCTTCAGGTGATTATTCAATTCCTTTTAGAAAATCATGATTGAATCTGGCCCCACCACACTTGCAACCAATACATTCCAGATCCTAACCACACACTACTTCATAAAGTTTTTCCTTAAGTCACCATCATTTTTTTGCCAATCACAAACAGTACAATGAATTTTCAATGATCAAAACTGACTAGTCAGTTTGCATTGAGTTCAAAATATTGCTTTTAGTTAAAAGGGAAAAAATGAATTGTTAAATAAATGATGTAATTTATTGTTGAGCTGTGCTATTCCCACTCTATCAACTCAATGACAGGTACTTCTTTAGCTGTAAAGATTTTTATGGCATGCTTACATTGTGAGGGGACTATATAAATGCAAGTTCTATCTTTCTCTGAACAGAATCAGAATTATGAGTTTCATAGAACTCTATGTTAAAAATTTTGAGATTTCGTTTTTATTGGGAACAAATTTCCCCTTATGTTTGTTGAATGCTGAAAAGGTAAAGTTAGATTGTTCCAGTAATTTGCTGGATGTGATACTGAGATGTATTAAAGTATGAAGTCTTACATATGAGTGCACATTAAAACATTCCTAATATAAGGTACATGTTCATTCCGCAGGAGTGAAGGTGGCGGTACTAAGTCCAGATTGTGGGCTACATTTCTAGGATGTAGCATTTCGATGGTTTGATCCTGATCCAATTCTCCCTTTCTTCAAGAGATACCTGATCTGAAAAGCCATAAAGATGTTCACAGTAAACTCCAAGTTATAGTCAAAATTCACCTATACTGTTTAAAATCACATTCTGGTATCAGACAGTTAATAAGCAATATTATAGCAATATGCACAATATTAATGAGTATCACTGACATTAATATAGGCTTGCTAACAGGAGTGGGTCTGGACCAGCCTGTGATTCTGACTTATGCTGGCACCAAGGTTAGATGCACTGAATCTTAGCAAGATGAATTTGCATTACTCAACTTAATAGGTTCTTGCACTTGAAGAACTGGTTCAATGAGCAACAGGGTGGATGCATTAAGTCTAGCAAGGCAACAGCATTAAAAATGTTTGTGTACATGATGTGGAAGGTTGGTTTTGTTGCTACAACAATGAAAGGATTTTAGAAACAGTCAACATTTATGTGCAGTTTGTAGAAATGTGCATCTACAGGAAATCCTCCTCATCTTACCCAGGAAGATTTTAGAGGTTGTGTTACATGAGGTGCAGGAGAGGACAGATTGCCCCCTTTGCAATGGAACAGTATCCCATAATGAGAACAGATGTCGAGACTGTCAGGACAGAAGAGGTACAGAAAGTGATTTGAAGTCTGCTGTTGATGGGGATTTGTTGGGTAAACTGTGATGGACACGTCTGGTTATAAGAGTAATGGCAGAGTAGGTGCGCTCACCTTTGAATACATTTTAGTGAAATTTGGCATCAGCCAGGATGCGAAAGGAGCAGTAGTAGGTTCATCAGTTATTTATACACCCAACTCTATTTGCCTTTCCATTGAGGGAACATCGAGGGCCGAAGGGCCTGTACTGCACTGTAATGTTCTATGTTCTATGTTCTATGTTCTATATGTGGTGGGGGTGAAGAGAGGCCTTTTTGAACAGCTGCAGTCCTTGTGTTACAGGACACCCAAAGTGCTGTTACGAAGGGGATTCTTGGACTTTGACAGCAAGAGAACAGAGTATATATTACTAAGTCAGCTTAAATGTGGCTTTGAGGATAACTTGCAGATGGAGTTGCTCCAAAGCATCTGCGGCCCTTGTCCTTCTAGGTTTTAAAGGTTGCGGTTTTGTAAGGCACTGTTGAAGGAACATCTTGTAGTGCATCTTGTAGATGGTACACACTGCTGGCACTATACATAAATTGTGAAGGGAATGAACATTGGAGGTGGATGAGGCGCTAATCAAGTGAACTGCGTTTGCCTTGGTTCCTTGAATATCCGAGCTACAGACGATGGTCAGGCTTTGGGGAGACAGGAAATAGGTTACTCACCACAAAATTCTTAACCTCTGATTTACCCTTGTAGCCATAGTATTTATGTGGCTATTCCAGTTCAGTTTCTGCTCAATGGTAAGCCTTGGATAATGTTAATAGGATCTTCAGCGACGGTGAGGCCATTGAACACCAGGTCATTACAGGAAATGGAAGTGTGATTTAAAAAAAAAACCAACAAGGAAATCAGACATCTGCTTTTTCTCACCCGGTCTCCTTCTTCTCCTGGTTGCACCAGATGAATGGGTTGGTCATTTTCCAGGTTCCGAATGCTGGGATCAGCTCCATGATATAAAAGCAGTTTAATTATTCTCTCTTGATTTCTCTCATTTTGGAGACCTGCAGCCATATGCAATGCAGTATTTCCATGAGCCTGGTGGAATAAAATTGGTTGAGATCATGTTTTCTTCCTTTGTTTATTACCAGTTCATTGCGTTTTTAACCTTTTTTCTCCCATTTCCTACAGTCTTTCCTACAGCAATCACCCCAAAATTAAGTGTGAATTTCTATAAACAAGGGGGTATAATTGAAAGTTCTGACTGTTAGCACAAAGGGAAAGGATATCAGATTAGCTTGTTATACCCCTCTCCAAATTGGGCCTTCAGTTGAGGAAATTATAGAGAGGGGATTAACAGGCATTTAAAACCATTCATCATTTTTAAGTGTTACTACAGGATAACATTACCGCAAGGAATCTCAGTTTTGCATTCCAGATATTTAAAAACAAATGCCTTGTAATTACTGTGTGTTAATGTTAATGTGTGTACTGTTACTCAAGTACTGTGTGCAATACTAACGTGAGAATGCTCAATGTGTCCATACGAAACTACTTGTAGTATTTTATTTGAGGCACCAACATGCTTAAAATTAACAGCGGAAAGTTATGTCAGAATAAACATTCATATCATTCCACAAGTGATGTAAATTGTTGCAGGGAGTCCAAAAGTAGAGGGCATAGATTTAAGATGAGAGGGGAAAAATTTAAAAAGGACCAGAGGGATAATTTTTTCACACAGAGGGTGGTGCGTGTATGGACTGATACCACTTCCCTTCCTAGAGAGGTCTTGTTCTGATGCTGGAAATAGTGGGATGGATTTTTGTTTTGTTGGGCGGGGAAGCCACAGTTTTGCTTTAAGTGAGTTCTAATCCCAGGTATCGTGGACAGTGACACGTTGACAGTGACAGTTACATGTTCACACGACACAGCGCAAGTACTTTCCTAAACGAAAATCAACTTGAGGAAGTCATCAAATTCCAAACTCAATGCAGAGGACACCACACACACACACACACACACACACACACACACACACACCTGCTCATGAACTGACTTAAATCAACAAGATCATTCAGACGTTGGGTGAATTTTACCAGATATTGAGCAAGTGTCAATTTTGGTGAGTTTCAAGGAGGATTTCTCTCTGTGAAGCCCGATGAGTTTTCTCGAGCGATCTTCACTAACTTGTCTGGATACCTATGCACCACATCCATGTGACTCTTGCCCTCCCATTCATCATGTTCTCCCACTCACTGCAAGCAGAAGTGGAGAACCATTAGGATGTCGGCACCAATGCCATCTGTAAAGCCCAGCCCTGCGCCCAGTCATGTGCTGGCCATCTGCAGGTGCCTAGCACGGGGTTCCTAGCAATTGCCCCAGATGTGCCAGGTGAAGGGAAACTGGCAACCCACTTTGCTAATGAGGACTTGGAGAACCTGTTGGAAAAGGTTCAAAGGGGTGGGGGGTAGGAGAGGTGGGTGGGGCACCACAGCACATAGAGCATGTTGTTGACTGTCATGACATTGGAGGGCCTGAGGAGCAACCAGTGAGCTGGAGTCACCAGGTTACTGCTCTGATTTTCTAGTTGGGAATTGTTACCGTCTAGTTTCTATCTAACGCATGGGAGAATGGAAAACTGAAATAACAATGAGGTGAAGTTATATAATTATGAGGATGTTGACACATGCAAATAGGCCTTTCACTGCTCATTAGCAAGAATCTTGTCTTGCCATTCAACAATTGGTTGGAAGATGGGACATTTTGCTTTTGACATGACTCCATGTAGGGGGTGTGGGGTGCACCTCACCCAACTTTTTCACCATTGGGATTGGGAAGATTCTGCCCGCAGTTGAAATTACTGAAAGATTCCAAATTTTCCTTTGAAATATTACTTAGGATGGTGCAGGAGGGAGGGATTCAGATACCTGGATAATTGGGGCTCATTCTGGGGTAGGTGGGACCTCTACAAACGGGATGGTCTACACCTGAACCAGAGGGGTACCAATATCCTGGGGGGGGAATTTGCTAATGCTCTTTGGGAGGGTTTAAACTAATTCAACAGGGGGGTGGGAACCTGAATTGTAGCTCCAGTGTACAGGAGGTTGAGAGTAGTGAGGTCATAAATAAGGTTTCAAGGTCGCAGGAGTGTACCGGCAGGCAGGAAGGTGGTTTGAAGTGTGTCTACTTCAATGCCAGGAGCATCCGGAATAAGGTGGGTGAACTTGCAGCATGGGTTGGTACCTGGGACTTCGATGTTGTGGCCATTTCGGAGACATGGATAGAGCAGGGACAGGAATGGTTGTTGCAGGTTCCGGGGTTTAGATGTTTCAGTAAGATCAGGGAAGGTGGTAAAAGAGGGGGAGGTGTGGCATTGTTAGTCAAGGACAGTATTACGGTGGCAGAAAGGACGTTTGATGACAACTCGTCTACTGAGGTAGTATGGGCTGAGGTTAGAACCAGGAAAGGAGAGGTCACCCTGTTGGGAGTTTTCTATAGGCCTCCGAAAAGTTCCAGAGATGTGGAGGAAAAGATTGCGAAGATGATTCTGGATAGGAGTGAAAGTAACAGGGTAGTTGTTATGGGGGACTTTAACTTTCCAAATATTGACTGGAAACGCTATAGTTCGAGTACTTCAGATGGGTCAGTTTTTGTCCAATGTGTGCAGGAGGGTTTCCTGACACAGTATGTAGATAGGCCAACAAGAGGCGAGGCCACATTGGATTTGGTACTGGGTAATGAACCAGGCCAGGTGTTAGATTTGGAGGTAGGAGAGCACTTTGGTGATAGTGACCACAATTCGGTTACGTTTACTTTAGCGATGGAAAGGGATCGGTATATAAAGCAGGGCAAGAGTTATAGCTGGGGGAAAGGCAACTATGAGGCGATGAGGCAAGATTTAGGATGCATAGGATGGAGAAGGAAACTGCAGGGGCTGGGCACAATTGAAATGTGGAGCTTGTTCAAGGAACAGCTACTGCGTGTCCTTGAGAAGTATGTACCTGTCAGGCAGGGAGGAAGTGGTCGAGCGAGGGAACCGTGGTTTACTAAAGAAGTTGAATTTCTTGTCAAGAGGAAGAAGGAGGCTTATGTAGAGATGAGGCGTGAAGGCTCAGTGAGGGTGCTTGAGAGTTACAAGTTAGCCAGGAAGGACCTAAAGAGAGAGCTAAGAAGAGCCAGGAGGGGACATGAGAAGTCTTTAGCAGGTAGGATCAAGGAAAACCCTAAAGCTTTCTATAGGTATGTCAGGAATAAAAGAATGACTAGAGTAAGATTGGGGCCGGTCAAGGACAGTAGTGGGAAGTTGTGCATGGAGTCCGAAGAGATAGGAGAGGTGCTAAATGAATATTTTTTGTCAGTATTCACACAGGAAAAAGACAATGTAGTCGAGGAGAATACTGAGATACAGTCTATTAGACTAGACGGGATTGAGGTTCATAAGGAGGAGGTGTTAGCAATTCTGGAAGGTGTGAAAATAGATAAGTCCCCTGGGCCGGATGGGATTTATCCTAGGATTCTCTGGGAAGCTGGAGAGGAGATTGCAGAGCCTTTGGCTTTGATCTTTATGTCGTCATTGTCTTCAGGAATAGTGCCAGAAGACTGGAGACTAGCAAATGTTGTCCCCTTGTTCAAGAAGGGGAGTAGAGACAACCCTGTTAACTATAGACCAGTGAGCCTTACTTCGGTTGTGGGTAAAGTGTTGGAAAGAATTATAAGAGATAGGATTTATAATCATCTAGAAAGGAATAATTTGATTAGGGATAGTCAACACGGTTTTGTGAAGGGTAGGTCGTGCCTCACAAACTTTATTGAGTTCTTCGAGAAGGTGACCAAACAGGTGGATGAGGGTAAAGCGGTTGATGTGGTGTATTTGGATTTCAGTAAAGTGTTTGATAAGGTTCCACATGGTAGGCTATTGCAGAAAATACAGAGGCATGGGATTGAGGGTGATTTAGCGGTTTGGATCAGAAATTGGCTAGCTGTAAGAAGACAGAGGGTGGTGGTTGATGGGAAATGTTCATCCTGGAGTTCAGTTACTAGTGGTGTACCTCAAGGATCTGTTTCGGGGCCACTGCTGTTTGTCATTTTTATAAATGACCTGGATGAGGGCGTAGAAGGATGGGTTAGCAAATTTTCGGATGACACCAAAGTCGGTGGAGTTGTGGATAGTGCGGAAGGATGTTGCAGGTTACAGAGGGACATAGATAAGCTGCAGAGCTGGGCTGAGAGGTGGCAAATGGAGTTTAATGCGGAAAAGTGTGAGGTGATTCACTTTGGAAGGAGTAACAGGAATACAGAGTACTGGGCTAATGGTAAGATTCTTGGTAGTGTAGATGGGCAGAAAGATCTCGGTGTCCATGTGCATAGATCACTGAAAGTTGCCACCCAGGTTGATAGCGTTGTTAAGAAGGCGTACAGTATGTTAGGTTTTATTGGTAGAGGGATTGAGTTTCGGAGCCATGAGGTCATGTTGCAGCTGTACAAAACTCTGGTGCGGCTGCACTTGGAGTATTGCATACAGTTCTGGTCACCGCATTATAGGAAGGATGTGGAAGCATTGGAAAGGGTGCAGAGGAGATTTACCAGGATGTTGCCTGGTATGGAGGGAAGGTCTTATGAGGAAAGGCTGAGGGTTTTGAGGCTGTTTTCATTAGAGAGAAGAAGGTTAAGAGGTGACTTGATAGAGACATACAAGATGATCAGAGGATTAGATAGGGTGGACAGTGGGAGCCTTTTTCCTCTGATGGTGATGGCTAGCACGAGGGGACATAGCTTTAAATTGAGGGGTGATAGATATAGGACAGATGTCAGAGGTAGGTTCTTTACTCAGAGAGTAGTAAGGGCGTGGAATGCCCTGCCTGCAAAAATAGTAGACTCGCCCACTTTAAGGGCATTTAAATGGTCATTGGCTAAACATATGGATGATAATGGAATAGTTTAGGTTAGATGGGCTTCAGATTGGTTTCACAGGTTGGTGCAACATCGAGGGCCGAAGGGCCTGTACTGCGCTGTAATGTTCTACGTTCTATGTTCTATGAATATGTGCCTGTTGAATTATTCTGGTGGATTGCAAAATGCTGCATCATCTGCGGCTCAGT